TGAACACCTGCAATAGGTGTAGAAGGGGCAAGCATCATGCTGCACTGTGCAAATTAGTTAGGACTAATTATGTCAATCCTAGAATAGGACGTAGAGAATCTACACCAGTACAGTGCTGCAAGGTGCGAGATGTGTACAGCGTAACTTCACAAGCATCTCAAGTGGATGCTGCCTTGCCTACTGCCCAACTTCAAGTGAAGAACAGAGGAGCCAAGATCACCATACGTGGACTATTTGATCAAGGTTCCCAGAGAACTTTCATTACTCAAAGGGCAGCAGAGGCACTTAATTTACAACCAATAGGACAGGTAAAATTAAACTTGTCAGGGTTCATGATAAATCGAGGAACCCATGAATACTCAGTAGTTCAACCGCTTGTACGATTAGGTAGTCATGCCAAGGCTGTCCAAGCCATTGTTGTAGATCAAATACCTTTAGACTTAAATATTAAGGGTCTGGGGTACACAGCCCACTTCCTGCAGGAACATGAAATTAATTTGGCTGACAACAAGTTAACGTCTGACCGCCTTAACAATGTAGATGTACTAGTAGGAGCCGACTACTATTACCAGTTCATAACTGGACATGTTAAACGATTGGGCATGAATATGCTCCAATCTGCAGGTGGCTACTTACTTACTGGTAAAGTTCTGAATGTGAACAAGCCTAAACCTGCCAACAATAATAAATTAGTCAGCAGTAAATCAATTCTCCAGCAGCAAGCTAAAAGGAGAAACACAGCTGAGTAATAAACTCAGATTGAATGAAGTGCAATTGATACTCGCCGAGATGTTTCATAGCTCTCAGTGAAAACCAATGGTCCGTACTCAAACAAGTACAAGTCACAGCGACCAAACTATTGAATTCACTGCAGACCTAGAATTATTCTCGACAATTAGTAATTGACCACACTCAGTCTTCCTAGGTAAATTGTGATGTTGGGCTAGAGAATCTAGTACTCCCTAGGTAATTAATAATGTTAGGCTAGAGAATCTAGCACTCAATGCCACTGGCATTTCCTGAATTTAGTAATTCTATGAAATCATCAAGCAACTTCAGTAATTACAAATTCACTAGGACCACTGGTCCACTATACTTGCGCTTAAAGGTTTGCCAAGAAAACCTTCTTAATACCATGTTTTCTGCACTAAGAGTTAGTGGTAAATACTTGCATCAATTTGTTTGAGTTGTTTTTCTTTCGTTTCTGCTTATTTAGTGTAGGAGCGCAGCACGAACAAACTTGCAAACTTACTAATACGTAAGCGAATTTACAGAGAACTAATATGTTTGATGCATTATCGTTAAACATCAGCATTGTTAATTAACATGCTTCATGAGCTTAATATAGCTCACCTTAGAATTAACGTAATAATATGAGTGCTTGTTCCCCATGCGTATACGAGCTTAATATTGCTCGCCATGACAATCGAACGCTTTAATGTTCCCCATGCCACGAGCACTGCTCGCCATGATAATTGAATGATGCAAAACTCCACCTCGTTAATTCGAGTTCACTGAACTCACCCTGTTAGCACTGCTAACGAGCTCACTGCAGCTCACCCTGTCAACACTGTTGACGAGTTCACTGTAACTCACCCTGTTAGCACTGCTAACGAGCTCACTGTAGCTCACCATGTTCACGAGTTCAATATAGCTCGACCTGTTAATGAGCTCAATACTGCTCACAATGTTAATTCGAGTACTTTTTTGCTCACGATTAGCTTAGTCCCTTACTTAGGTAAGTTAGAAATTCAAACCTTTAGGTAAAATTTAGGTAGGTTTAGGGACTTTAGTAGTGTCAACTGAGTACTAGCCTAATCTGTACTCACCATTAATTGCAGTTGACTATACTTATAGAGACTGATTTAATAAACTCAAATTCATGTAAAGGTGATTTCGTATTAACAAGTTTACAGTGTCAAGCCTATGAGCTGCCATTTAATTAGCTCATAAGTCAGAATGACTAGGCTACTAATCTCACTGTCGACTCAGAATTTTCCTTGATTTTAATGAATAAACCTTTCAGTTCTCTACTTTTCTATTAATTTAGCTAGTTAGCAAATTAGTTGTACCATCAGTCAGAATGACTACTGCACGGCAGTGCACATTAAATTCAATTTCCTCCTTTGAATTTGGGGTGATCATGATACTGCGTGATGTTATTGTCTAGTAACCCAATAGTTACAAGTCACAGCGACCCTAGACAGTGACCTTACTGTAGTGTCATAGTCTCCTTGATCTTAAATGACTAATAATATTTTACTGTATAATTATACAATAGTGTTGTCAGTTCTTAGGAACTTATTCTGAGTTTGCCTATGATTCAGCAGCTACGTAATACACCATTGCATGTCACTACGACCCTAGTTGTTGAGTTTATTGTGAGCTTTAGAAGGTTCCTGATTACCAATAACTTAATCATTTAATGTTTCAATATTTAATACATGTTTCCACTAAGGGAAACTACAAGCCTATTATAGTTCTCAACTAAGAGCAATTCTTTAATTATTGTGTAGGCTATAAGTAACATGTTTCATTTGACATGTAAATAGCAAGACCTGAGTTCTTGTAAGTCCTTGATAAATACGGGACGTTCGTTATGTGTGTACTAACATACTAACATATTAACCTACTAATATACTAATATTAATATCAACTTCGGGATAGGTCAGTACTCCACAGTACACTACGACCCTAGAATCCTCCCCCCGGAGTTATGTTGGAAATTTCCAACACCGAATACAACACTGTTGTATTCTCATTAATTATTACTAATTCTACTAATTATTGTAGTAAGTAAAATTAACACAACATAGAATTCACATGTACTAATAATTTCATCTGTGCAGTAGGCTAGAATTCTCACGTCACCCGACGTCAGTATTGCGTCAGATTTCATTACAATAAAAACATTATATCCAATGTATCTGAGAATTGAATTCGATTCTCTATAACCAAGGCGTTCTGTGTGATAATTAATTACAGATAAATTGACCTCCAACTAAAAGCCGAATAGAGCGTTAGAGTCATAGCAGTTATCTAGTAATAAAAATTAACGTCACAAGTGAATGCCATGGAGAAGCATTAATTCCTCCCCATTATATATTTACTATCGCTGAACTGGCAAATAATAATATTTCCCTCTTCTAAATAATAAACCCGTCCTGTCTTCAACATTTCAAGCACAAATGCGAGAAATACTAATATTCATGACAATAATTTGTCTAATGAACGCGAGACGCGGCGTGGGGGAGGAGGGCACTCCAGTACACGTGTGCATAAGCTCTCGAGCGGACCTGTTCGCATCGTGCTCACGAGGAGACGCCATTATCCAGTCATCAGGGTAAACGTTATCCATCCTCAGAAGAAAGTCGCCACTGTGAGGCGTGAACAACCTTGCAGACAATATCTTCAACTGGTGTCGGCGTAATATAAGGAACCTTTTTAATCTGGTTCTTGACTACACGTGACCGACCAGTGAAGCGCGCCATTATCCAGGATAGGTGAAGCCAGAGCCTGGGGCGCGAATTTCGGCAATCTTAAAACTTATACAGTGCCCATATTAGCTAAGTATCTTATCCTTATTTGATGCATCGTATAGGGTGTAGAATAGTAGCTGGGTGATTTGTCGTGACGACGTATACCAACACCAAACCACAGGTTATTACCCATTATCTCTTATTAATATTACTTTCTTGAACATAGAGATTCAGTAGTTTAATTAGTTGCTACTGTAAATATTTGTTTTGCAGCACGTGAGAAGAATTCTCCCTGCTGCCTTCTCCCATGTTAATCCATCCCACTCGTCATCTAGCCGAGCCCAGGAGATTCAGAGGAAGCATCGTGACTTACACAAGGGAATCGTCATTAAGCTAAGATTAATTTGTTTTCCATTATTAATTATCTGGAATTATTTACATGCAGAACTCTTTTGGGATTGACATGTGTTTATTGTGATTATTATTATTATACTCATAATCTATGTTCCCATTAATGGTAATGACATTGGTTTATAATAATTCATAGGATTAGATTATTATATCTTGGATTAGTGAACGAACCACACTAGTTCCTGGACGTACTGAGTTCCAGTAATAACCCCCAATGTAGGTGTTTGAGGGTTTGATTCATTTAATTATACAGCTAATTAATTATTTCTATGATCATATTCTCTAGTATTTTATCCATAGTTACTGGTTCATCTAGGAATTATCTAATGATCAGAAATTCTCAGTTTCCCTCTTTACTATAAAAGCGGGTGGTCCTTCGTAATTTAATTTACTACATTAATATTTAAATAATTAGATTCAAGCCCCAAATGTCCCACAGAGCGCATGTTCAGTCAGTGTTGTGGGGAGCGCATGGCCAGTCAGTGTTGTGGGGAGCGCATGGTCAGTCAGTGTTGTGGGGAGCGCATGGCCAGTCAGTGTTGTGGGGAGCGCATGGTCAGTCAGTGTTGTGGGGAGCGCATGGCCAGTCAGTGTTGTGGGGAGCGCATGGTCAGTCAGTGTTGTGGGGAGAGCAAGGTCAGTCAGTATTGTGGGGAGCGCATGGCCAGTCAGTGTTGTGGGGAGCGCATGGTCAGTCAGTGTTGTGGGGAGAGCAAGGTCAGTCAGTATTGTGGGGAGCGCATGGTCAGTCACTCTGGTTAGAATGTAAATTAAGGTTGTCATTGACAAATAATGTTTCACTCGATTGTCTAGTAATAAATGTTGTTCTTGAATTACTCGGTGTTTGTGCTTGTAGTATGTCTTGTTCTGCTGGGTAAACACGCTTCTTGACCAAATGTCTGTATTTAATGTCTAGTTCAGCTATTCCTGACGATCATTATGAAAACAGTTCTTTTCTCGTTATTTGAAAATCATATTAAGTATAATTTAATATTAGGCATATGAAAAATAAATCAAAACATCTAGCAGCTGTACCTTTATTGCCAAAATTAGGCTAATCAAATGTACAAAAACATTAATACTGTATTCTCACCTCACGCTTGTCTACAGACTTTCGGCAGCCGTATGCTGGGGCCGCTGGCCTGGATTATTGCCTTCTTCGTCGCCTGCTCCACAGCCGGCAACGCCAACGGCAACCTTGTAGCTCGATCACGCCTGACCTTCGCCGGGGCAAGAGAGGGTCACCTGCCGCAGTTCCTCACTCTCATTCACATCAGTCACTCCACTCCGGTCCCGGCTCTTATACTGTCGGTAGGTCACATCTGGGAATGTGATGAAGTCGTCTCTGTGGACCAATTCCAGAACGGTTATTGCTGTTGTTCCTGCATGCATTGACTAGGTACCCAGTTTTGCCAAGGTCACCCCTCCTTTAATTCCCCTTCACCTATTAATCCTCTCTCCATCCCTAATCTCTAACATCAACACCTTGGACAGGCAAACTGACAGCTGACAACAACGACAAGAATAAAGGTTGCATTGACCAACTTACTAAATAACCTTTCGATAAATCTTTATCGCTCATGCAAGTGTCACAAGGAAAGTTAAACTGGTTCACATGGTTATAACTTACAAAAAGTTAGAAATATTCACTCAACGATAATTTTCTACGACATGGTGATAATTCTGCAGTCTTTTTTATTGATTTCAGTCGATAGTGCCCTTAGCGGCAATTATGGCAGACAACGTTGGGGCTCTCCTGGCCTACACTTCCTTCACCAACAACCTCACCAACCTCACCGCCGTCCTGGGCCTTCTCTGGCTTAGGTACAAGGAACCAGGAAGATCCAGACCAATTAAGGTAAGTTGTATAACATAAACACACTTACTTCCTGACTCACCGAACCACTTAATTATTTATTCCCTTGCATAGCATCATATCATAAAAATCAAAGAAACCTCAAAATACCAGAGGCCCATATGCTCTCTCTGTCTGTCTGTCTGTCTGTCTGTCTGTCTGTCTGTCTGTCTGTCTGTCTGTCTGTCTGTCTGTCTCTCTCTCTCTCTCTCTCTCTCTCTCTCTCTCTCTCTCTCTCTCTCTCTCTCTCTCTCTCTCTCTCTCTCTCTCTCTCTCTCTCTCTCTCTCTCTCTCTCTCTCTCTCTCTCTCTCTCTCTCTCTCTCTCTCTCTCTCTCATACTCTCCCTCATACTCTCCCTCATACTCTCCCTCATACTCTCCCTCATACTCTCCCTCATACTCTCCCTCATACTCTCTCATACTCATACTCTCTCTCATACTCTCTCTCTCTCTCTCTCTCTCTCTCTCTCTCTCTCTCTCTCTCTCTCTCTCTCTCTCTCTCTCTCTCTCTCTCTCTCTCTCTCTCTCTCTCTCTCTCTCTCTCTCTCTCTCTCTCTCTCTCTCTCTCTCTCTCTCTCTCTCTCTCTCTCTCTCTCTCTCTCTCTCTCTCTCTCTCTCTCTCTCTCTCTCTCTCTCTCTCTCTCTCTCTCTCTCTCTCTCTCTCTCTCTCTCTCTCTCTCTCTCTCTCTCTCTCTCTCTCTCTCTCTCTCTCTCTCTCTCTCTCTCTCTCTCTCTCTCTCTCTCTCTCTCTCTCTCTCTCTCTCTCTCTCTCTCTCTCATACTCTCTTTTTTTAAATATACAATATTTAAAAAACCCAAATATTATCTTTCACTGCAGGTATGGCTCGGTTTCCCAATTTTTTACCTGGTGGTAAGCGTGTTACTGACGGTGTTCCCCGTGATCCGCAGACCTGTGGAGATCGCCGTCGCCTTCGGAATTATTATAGCAGGTCTGATAGTGTACTTCTTGGCTATCCACTTGCAGTCGACACCAAAATGTTTCGCCAATATTATGGGTGAGTCATAGTCTGAACATCATCATTGATCACTGAGCTCCCTTTACCTGCTCACACGTGACATGAATAGTTTAAATTTAGGCTCCCTCAAGCCGCTCACATGTAGTATGAAAAAAAATCTAAATCAATGTTTCACAGCGAGAAGTCAAACAGTCCTTCTGTGTCACTGTGATGTCTGTGTGGATCATAATCATAAATGCTCATAATGATCATAATCATTATGAGCCGACTGTGTGGATCATAATCATAAACCGGAGGATTATGAGGATTCAGCAAAGTGAAATTTGACTAAAGTGAGTCCGAAATACTATTTAACAAAAAAACGAAGGAAGTCGATATCGCCTCCGATGCACTACTGTAATGTAAATTACATATATTTTACATTACATGTAATTTACATAATTTACTAATTTTTAATTTACTAATAGTAATTTATATAATTTACACGTAATTAACATGTAATTTACATGTAATTACATATAATTTACATGTAATTTACATCAATGTAAATTAGCAAAATAAATGTCTTTATTAATATTGTGTTGACGTTATTTCAGAGAAAGTGACGCGCCTGTGTCAGCTGGTGTTCTTGTGCTGTCCAGAAGCTCAGTGTCAGAGGAACTGAAATGTCAGTACCACACAAACTTTCGTCTCTCCTCAACTGCCTCAACTTGGCACATGGAGGCACCCGGAGGCACCAGAAAAACTGTGCCACTAAACATGTGAATGAATATGTGACCTTTACCACTCGATGAGTTTTAATGTTAGGCCTTTACCACTCACTAAGTGAGTTAATATGTTGGGCTGTGCCACTAGGCATGTTAGTAAATATGTTGACCCTTTACTACTCAACATTTGAGAAAACATGTCGAGCTCTTCAACTAAACATGTGACTGAATATTTGGGTCTGTGCCACTCACATGTGACTGAATATTTTGGTCTGGTGCACTTAACATGTGACTGAACTCATCAGGAATATTTTGAGTTGTGCTACCCAACATATGAGAAATAATTTTCTTACTGTATGTAACCTATCATATTTATCTTAGAAGCGATATGTTTATGATATGTATATAACTGAAAACTCCACACCCCAGAAGTGACTCGAACCCATACTGCCAGGAGCACTATGCAACTGGTGTGCAGGAGACCTTAACCACTCAACCATCAGTGACCGTACAAAAGATGATGGTAGCCGAGGCTATTTGTCCATCATCCAGATGGCACTTGAATGGTAATCTTGGGCATAGTTATTTTTGTGAGAAACCGTTATATTTTTTGTAATGATCATCTCGTTGGCCATACCGTGAGAAAGTTATATTTTGTAATGATCATCTAGTGGGCAGCACCGTGAGACACATTTACTTCCTGCTATGTTGTGCAGTTGCCAGCAATTTCCTCTTTATTTTTATAAATATATAACTGTATTAAATTAAACTACATTACCTCTGTTTATGCATGTAAATCTGATCATTCTTTAATTTAGTTAATTAATGACCACCTTATTCCCATTATATGGCTCCACTTAAGTAAAATTAATATTAATAAAAAACTTGTCATTCAATATGTTGTGAGGAAGTGAGTAGCGACTCTCCTGGGAAGCGAGTAGCGACTCTCCTGGGAAGCGAGTAGCGACTGCCTGGGAATTTAGTCAGTATCTGGTATACTCATGAAGGATAAACATCTAAGGAGTTAAGTGGCTGTTATATATATATTTTGTTTTGCTGTAGCATATTAGTCTGTGGAGACATAATTTTATTTTGATTTACATGTGATAGTGCCCATCTGATGATTGATATATATAATACTGATAATTAACTGAAATATTATTTTAATATACAAGTTATAGTTTATGTGTAATTAATTATTCCTGGGGGTGATTAATTCTAATTCTTGCATGTACGAACCATGTGTTTATACTGGTGACACACCTTGAGATTACAGCGTCGTTCAATGTCCCTAAACTAAAATATATTTGTCGCTGTTACGTGCCACGAGCAATACAGTATGGTTCGTAACATTGATAAGCGCGGAGAGCAAACTGCTAGTTTGTGGCAGGCAGCGCCTTGTGTTGAGGCTGCGCCACTGCTAGTTGAAGGCGGCTAACTGCTTGCTTGTGAAGGTAGACAACTGGTTAGCTGAGGCGCCCGGCTTGCCTCCGAGTCGTACCAGGCCGTGCCAGGCCCTGGGGGGGGGGGGGGGGGGGGGGTTACGGATAGGTGGCAGGACTGATGACTCATCTTGGCTGGTGTAGAGGTGAACTTCCAGTACAGAAGGATTGAGGGTAAGTGGAAAAAGGCAATTCCACTATTACGCAGGGGATTCACATGACAGCTCCTCCCGAAGCCTTTTCCTAATGTCGATGCTGGAAGGAGTGTGGAAGTGGGAGGTTCCACTTCATGAACACGTGATAGTGCGTCCGCAACTATGTTGTCCAATCCTTTGATGTAGAAGATCTGGAAGTTGTAGTTTTGTAGGTACAAAGCCCAACGAAGTAGACGCTGGTTGGAGAATTGGGCTTGTTGTAGAAAACGAAGAGGATTGTGATCAGAATAGATGGTGATGAGTTGGTGTCCTTGAAGGTAAGGTTCATATCGTTGCAAGCATAGGACGATGGCGAGTAGTTCCTTCTCTATAGTGCTGTAGTTTTATTGGTGAGGCTTCAGCTTGTAGCTGTAGTAGCTGACTGGTAGGACTTCCCCCTCTCTCTGCTGCATCAGGACACCCCGAATGCCGGTGCTGCTGGCATCAACATTAAGGATGAAGGGCTATTTCACATCTGGCGAGGCGAGAATTGGGATAGTACACAGCAAAGTTTGCAATTACACACAGAAATTACAATAGCGTGATTGCATCAAATGAACAAATCCACAAGAGCCGTGACGAGGATTCGAACCTACGTCCGAAAGAAGCAAGGAATTACCAGGGAAAGCGCCAAGCCAATATAACTATATAGCACTAATCAACCGTCCAGCCCAAGTAGTTGGTAATAGACCTACGTCCGAGAGCATCCCAGACGCTGCCTTAATCAACTGAGCTACGACATGGTATAAGAATTGCAACCAGAAATTCTACTGAATTTACTTGGATCCTGCAGCCTCTCCGAGACACAAACCAGGATTTTTACTCAATTCTCCCATGCACTCGAGCTATGTCAATAGGCCGTTCTACCTCTTCGTCCTTACTTCATTACACACAGAAATCACAATTGCGTGATGCATCAAATGAACAAATCCACAAGACCGTGACGAGGATTCGAACCTACGTCCGAGAGCATCCCAGGTGCTGCCTTAATCGACTGAGCTATGGCATGGTATAAGAATTGCAACCAGAAATTCTACTGAATTTTCTTGGATCCTGCAGCCTCTCCGATGCTTCACGCTGCGGATCCTGCGTAAATTGCATAAATTACACATGAATTGTGCAAAACCCTGGTTTGTGTCTTGGAGAGACTGCAAGATCCGTTGGTAAATCAAGATGATTTCCCGGTTGCAATTCTTATACCATGTCGTAGCTCAGTCGATTAAGGCAAGCGTCTGGGATGCTCTCGGACGTAGGTCTATTACCAACTACTTGGGCTGGACGGTTGAGCAACGGTCTCGCTTCATGCAGGTCGGCGTTCAATCCCCGACCGTCCAAGTGGTTGGTCACCATTCCTTGCCCCTCTTCCCATCCCAAATCCTTATCCTGACCCCTTCCCAGTGCTATATAGTTATATTGGCTTGGCGCTTTCCCCTGGTAATTCCTTGCTTCTTTCGGACGTAGGTTCGAATCCTCGTCACGGCCCTTGTGGATTTGTTCATTTTACCATATTCTTATTTCAATTGCCTGTAATGCAGTTGCCTTGTATTACTTTGTTGTATTATACTGTATAAGAGTTGGTTAGTAAAGCGGTGATACGAGTGGTCCTGTGCTGGACGAGTATTTGTCACGATCAGTCTGTGGAGAGCGTCAGTGATACCAGATGTGCATGTCACTGAATATATATTATTTACAGTATAAGATGTATGAGTTGTTGTTGCCAGTATGTCTTGTATTATATACTTATGTTTATGAGTGTATGGCAGTGTGTATCTCTGTGGAAGTGTGGTTTGTGGGATTATATTTACATGGCGTGTTGCTACAGTTGTCTGAGGTGCGAGCAGCATGTCAGTCTGATGCTCCCGGACGCAGGTTCGAATCCTCGTTACGGCCCTTGTGGATTTGTTCACAGTGTTCATATATGTAGTCATACTTCTATAGATAATATATTGGTGAAGGTATAATTGCATATTGTTTATTCCCCCTTTATTCCCTGCACTATTACTTGCTACCGCCAATTCTTGAGAACTTACATTGACTTAGGGTAGGATCATAGACGAAAAGACTATAAGGCAGGTTAACAGAAAGAACCCCGGTTACTGGCTCAAGCTGGCCATAACAGTAGTCATAAGCCAATAAATATTTAATTATTAATATTGTTTGCACTTGTATATTGTATTTGTGTCCTTCAGTGTAAACTGGTGTTCCATATTTATTTTATAACTAGCAGTACCCGGCCACGCGTTGCAACCTTCCCTGGTCCCCCAGTCTTTCCCACTATTCCCCCCTCCACCGTCCCCTCGTCCTCCCCACCATTCCTCACTTCACCATCCTCTCTTCCTTCCCACCATGCCCCATTCCCCTGTCCCTTTGTCCTCCCCACTGTCACGACCCTTGAGACTAAATAAGGTTCTTCTCCCCACAGTGAAAGAAATGGTAAGAAATCGGCCTTGCCAATAGATGTCTAGGGGTATAATTACATCACTGTATAAAAAGGAGAACAATATATTTTGCTAAGGGGGAACAACATAACAACAATTAAGTGTATAAATAGTAGCCAGAAATATTTATCAGAATGCAATATCATAAAATGAAATTAATTACTGAGACATGAGCTACTGCCCAGGCTTTGGTCCGCAGGCCAAACGTCGACTAAACGTCTACCAAGAAATCACCTAACAGTCCACGTAAACATTGTGGAAATTCTAATACCAAAAATGCAGCACTAATAATTAAACATTGTAAACTAAAGAGTAGTAATTACTGGTATAACATTCCATACAAATATATGGCCACCTAACATGAGAATAAATAAAGATAAAACTATAGACACTCGATTGACAACAATCACACCGGCCATATCCAAATATGGTAACCCGCCCACACGAGTAACTACAGCGAAATCTAACACCAAAATACTTCACACACACTACACAGTCCACACAGCATGCTATGTTATATATATATATATATATATATATATATATATATATATATATATATATATATATATATATATATATATATATATATATATATATATATATATATATATATATATATATATATATATATATATATATATATATATATATATATATATATATATGTCGTACCTAATAGCCAGAACGCACTTCTCAGCCTACTATTCAAGGCCCGATTTGCCTAATAAGCCAAGTTTTCATGAACTAATGTTTTTTCGTCTACCTAACCTACCTAACCTAACCTAACCTTGCTTTTTTTGGCTACCTAACCTAACCTTACCTATAAATATAGGTTAGGTTAGGTTAGGTAGGGTTGGTTAGGTTCGGTCATATATCTACG